ACAATTGGCCTGAAGGCTAAGCTCTACCACAAACAGCACCATGTGGAGAAAATACAAACGAAGAAGACTTATCAAGATGCATGCAAAGAGAAACACCAAACAAAAGAATGATGAAAAGACTTCCCTGGCAAGCACAAGGATCTGAGTTCAATCCCTGGCTCCACCCAAAAAAAAAAAAAAAAAAAAAAAGTCTGCACAAGGAGTAGTACCTGCTTACCTGCTAGATAGAGAAGGACAGTGTTGTGCAAAAGTACTTTCCAATATGATTAAACAAAAACAAAAAGAAAAAGCTGGAAAATGGGAAGTTCCTCTGCCCAAAGTTTGTGCCCAATAAGAAATGGAAGTATTAAAAGTTATTCAAACTGGAAAGAGAAAAAAGAAGGCATGGAAGAGGATGGTTACTAAAGTCTGCTTTGTTGGAGATGGTGTTACAAGAAAACCGCCTAAATATGAAAGATTCATTAGGCCCATGGGCTTATGTTTTAAGAAGACCCATGTAACACATCCTGAACTGAAAGCCACCTTTTGCCTGCCAGTACTTGGTGTGAGAAAGAACCCTTCATTGTCACTGTATACAACTTTGGGTGCTATTACCAAAGGAACAGTGATTGAAGTGAACGTGAACTAGTTGGGCCTTGTGACACAAGGAGGCAAGGTTAGTTGGGGTAAATATGCCCAGGTAACCAACAATCCTGAAAATGATGGATGCATCAATGCAGTCTTACTAGTTTAACAGATGTTTCAGACAGTAACTTCTTATACTTATTGAAGACCACAGCACAATCAGGAAAACCATAACTTGAATACTGCTGAACAACTCTCATGACTACATTCCTCAAGAAAACTTTATTAAATTGTAAAAGGATTAAAATGGCCCAGTTTTATAAATTGTTTTTTATTAGGGGTCTGCTATGGCCTTACGTGTTAGCGAGATTGAACCACTTGAAAAAGTAAATATCAGTCTTTGCATTAAAGAGTGGGTACTCAGCAACACAGATCTTTCATTCTTAAAAAGCCACCAGTATTTAAGTCAGTGCAAACTTAATTAAGGGGTCTAGGGCTAGGAAATCTGCTGAAGTTATTCTACCTCATCATTTATCATTAGTCCTAAAAAAAAGTAATGTTTAAGTTTATTCTCAATATAGTCTATTTATAGTACTTTAAGAATGGCATTAGAAGTTTATTTAGATAATTCCAATTTAGTTGCCCTGAAAAGAAACTTTATTTGCAGTTAAATAATATGATGGTTATATGTTAGGTGTGCATCTCAAGTTTTGTGATCTGAATTAATTGGTCATAGCTTGGAGAAAAAAAAAAAAAAACAGATTTCTGAGAAAATAATCTCAAGTAGAGGAAAGGTTGGAGTTGAGAATTTAAGCCAACTGTGGAAAGGGCACATTTGGTAAGGAAAGCTGTGTGACAAGAAAAACAAAGAGAATGTATCATTGCCAGTTTACAAGAAGGATAACTGGCTGAGGCTGTAGCTTAGTGGTAGAACATTTCCACTTATCTACAATTCTGGAACCTGGGGGCCAGAGAGATGGCTCAGTAGAATAAGTGCTTGCAGGGCTGGTGAGATGGCTCAGTGGTCTAAAGCACCTACTTAGAACAAGCTTAGCAAAGTGCAGAGACTGCGGTTCAATCCCCCAGCACCACATGCCTGCCAGCCCCGCCCCCTGGGGGGCTGAGCTGGCCACACACACACACACACACACACACACACACACACACATAGATGAATAAAAAAGAATAGGTGCTTGCCTGGCAAGCACAAGGGCCTGAGTTCAATCCCAGGTTCTACCAAAATAAATAAATAAAGTTTTGGAACATGAATCCCAGCATGATGCATAAGAAATTGGTGCATGGAATTTGCTCTCGTGTTACCACAGCCTCCACAGCTAATCTAAGTGGTACTAGAAGCTATGAAATTTGAATATTTTGTGTTTTTTGTCCTCAATGTCTTTACAGCTTAAGAAATAGAACCAAACACTTTGAAGAGTTTCCAAAATATTTTCGGGGTCTTTTAGTTTTATTGGTTAAGTGTTTGATCTTGGAACCAAACTAACTGGGATTGAATTCCACCATTACTATTTACTAGTCTTGTGCCTTTAGGAAAGTTGCAGAGCCTCTTCACAACTAAGTTTTCTGTAAAATGAAAGAAATAATGACATCTCTTTCCTGGATTAAATATGTCAATACATCGAAATTACTAATAACCAGTACTTAGCACAAAGTAACCATTCAATGAATGTTAACTTTTAAAAGTATTAGTAAATTTATATTTGCTTAAAGAGATTGAGAGCTGACTTTCACATATATGAGAAGTGTATTAACTGTGCCAATTTGGGAAAGAAACACCCAACTGAAATGGATCAGCATAACTTTGAGTATGGAAGACACACCCTAGGGAAGATTGTCACCAGAGTGATATAAAGGTGAGATGAAGAAAAGCTTGTTTCTGTTCCTTTGGGGGAGCTCTGGTCTTCACCTTCACACTGGATGTCATCTCCTGACTTCCACTGCAGACTCTTCAGCATCTAACATGGACCTTCAGCCTTCTGGTACAGACTTGCACAGGACATAACTGTGATTCTGGGCCTTCAACTGCTTCCTTCAGATCTCCAGGAAAAGGCAGACCTTTTGTATGACTCTGTGGATGGTCACTGTAAGCCAATTTTGTAAATTCTTATGCATTTATATATCTTGCAATACAGCTCTTCCTCCAGTATGCACTGACTGATACAAGAAGTTCTGAGCACAGCTAAATTCCAGAGCTGCCATGAAGTTCCCAACTCACAAATATTCAAGATCCAAACTTTCACAAATACAAATGGACCTAGCATTATGAACATTTGTAGACGTGAACAAATTTGTAGAAGTAGCTCACATGTCTACTAGAAATTGTCACAGTTGTGCTGCTGTGTGCTTACTGTACAGTGTAATAGTGTATAGTAGTATTGCAACACAGTCAGCGACTCACTACATTTTTACAGGATTTTTTATACTTACATTGTATATCTGTGCTAGAAGTGCATAAGACGCACTTTGTCAGATTTCTGAATGAGTGTGAATTGTGAACATTCTCTCACAACAGAACTCTTTCATAACTTGGAGACTTAGTGAATGTTCTTAGGACTTGATCCCTCTTTGCCTTTTGGCTTTGCTTTTTCCTCTTCAGTCTCACACAGGCTGTCCTTTACTTGGCCGCAACAACTACAGAGTCAGCTTCTGTAGCATGGATGAATATATAAATTGTTTTCCAGTCAGCTCATAAAACTGAGTTACAGCCAACCACCCTTGGCTTACACACCTAAGAAAGAATGGAGGCTGTTCTCTGACTTTGCTCTGCATGGCATTGCCCATCAGAGGTGGCTGGGTCAGGATCAATCCATCCATAGTGCATACACAAGGAAACAAGTGGGTAAGTCCCTAACAAACACATGGGTTCTATTATAAGAGGGAAATGGATGCTAGGTTAATAAAGCCAAACAAGTCAATCTATCATTGGCATGATCTTCCTTACATTTAATCCCTAGACTGAAAGTCTGCTTGGCTTCATTCAGTGTTACCTTCCTATAATGGCTTGGTGTTGAGGGACTAATGTGTATTGGATTGTCTGGATGTTTATACACAAGTACCTTTTGGGATTAACACTTTAAAAATGATGGTATGGGAGTCAGCTGGGGAAAGAGAGCAATCAGGTTGTAGTTCTGTCCCAGTAGCAAACTGAGCTGACACCAATCACAAACACCATCCAAAATTCTAGTGCTACAGTGGCCCTCCAGTTACTCCAAATTGGAACAAAAAGTTCTTCCTTATTGTTTGGCAGTTATTAGATGTGCAGTATCTTAGAATGGAAGAGAGATCTTGACAAATACAGTTCTACTCACCCAAGGCAATTCCTAGGAGTTTGGCAACAGAGAGCTGCCTGAGAAGAGCAGTCCCAGTTGGATAGGTACACAAGCCCCTCATTCAAGATGGGGCCTGAATCCATACATCAGAGATCTCCATGGGAATGCACAAGAAAAGGTGGGATGACAAAGTTTTGTCCAGCCTCCCAAAATGTCTAGGGTATAGTACATCACATAATTATTTTATACTTTGCACCTAATCAACAAAAAATGTTTATATAAGGATGGACTATCCCACCATCACAGAAGGGAAGTGGACACTGCACAACTACAGGGACCTGGTAGTTGTGCAATGTCCACCTTCCTTCACTCACCATCACCTGGGGGCTTCACTGAGCGGTGGTCTGCCCCCATATACCTGTCACAGCAGCCTTGGTGAGCCCTACCCTGTCCCCCCACCATCACAACACCCTTGTGGAGCTTTGGCCTACTCCTATCATCCTCAGAGCCATCCTGAATTGGCCTTCACTTCATTGTGGCAGAAGCCACACTGAGCCCCACACAGCAGGAGCTTTGCTAAGCCTACACACCCATCCCCCACTGTAGCAGTGAACTTGGTAACCAGCGTCCTATGCCCTCCCATTGCTACTGAGACCAGGTAAATACTGGGAGCTTCAAAATGTCAAAACAGAGGCTCCCGCTCCTAAATAGTTCTTCGCCCGGCTGCTGCCAGCCTGCGCTTCTCCGGACGCCGTTGGCCTGCCATCGTCCCGACTGCCCTCCCTCCCGGGCATTTCTCTTCTCTTTATCCGGAGCGTAGAAGGCGAAGGCCCGGCTCGGCACGGAGCCCTTTCCGTGCCCATCGCAAGTGCCACCGCCGCCATGGGCCTCACCATCTCCTCGCTCTTCTCCCGCCTGTTCGGCAAGAAGCAGATGCGTATCCTGATGGTTGGATTGGATGCTGCTGGCAAGACGACTGTACTGTATAAACTCAAGTTAGGGGAGATAGTCACGGCCATTCCTACCATTGGTTTTAATGTGGATTTATGTGGAAACAGTAGAATATAAGAACATTTGTTTCACAGTGTGGGATGTTGGTGGTCAAGATAAAATTCGGCCTCTGTGGAAGCATTACTTCCAGAATACCAGGGCTTTATTTTTGTGGTAGATAGCAATGATCGTGAAAGAATTCAGGAAGGAGCAACTGTGCTGCAGAATATGCTTCAGGAAGATGAGCTGCAAGATGCAGCGCTGCTGCTGTTTGCAAACAAACGGGATTTGCCAAATGCCATGGCCATCAGTGAAATGACAGATAAATTGGGTCTTCAGTCTCTTCAGAACAGAACATGGTATGTTCAAGCCACTTGCGCTACACAAGGAACGGGTCTGTATGAAGGACTGGACTGGCTGTCAAATGAGCTTTCAAAACGTTAACGGAAGCTGGATCTGAAACCACAGACACGCTAACCTACCTTGGACACCTTTGATAGAATTGGCTTAGGCTTGTTACAGCAAAATTAGTTTGTATCTTGGTTATTAAACAGTATCTGAGACTGGTTTGGGCAGTTTCAACTTATTTTGTTGCCAATTATTATTTACCAAGTACAATGTTGCCAGTTAGCAATATGCTTGGTTTTCAAGAGATTTTCCTTGGGGAAAAAGTATCCTCTCTTACTCTCACCTTTAAGCCTAAATGCCTGGACAGAGCTATTGTGTCACCTTTATATCATTCTGACTATGTTTTGAGCCCACAACCAACAATGTTTTAGAAGTTACTTCCTTGGTACTTCACTGATTCCTTTATCATTCCTGGGACAGTCTGCTGATTTAAAAATGTAGCATTCCATTTGTATTTATTTCTTTCCCTTGCCAAAAAGATTTTCTGATGTTGCTCTTACCAGCCAGGGAGATGCTCCAAAACACTACTCGGCTCTCTTGCACTGAGGAACTTAGTTCTTCTCCCCGGTGAAACTTCCCTTGGTGTGGTTTGGATTTGCTAGCCGGTTCTGTGTTGGTTGCCAAGAGTCCCTGTGGAGGTGGGTTTTCATACTCAGCAGATTGCCTTCCTTTATAGTATATCTTTTTTATGTCGCATGTTGCTTTTGGTATCAGCCTGACTCTTTGCCCAATATATATGGTTCTCCTGATATTTTGTTGTTTATCGATGAACATATCTTTCAGAGTTTTTAGAAGACTCGTCAAACTCAATAATTTTTCTTCATAACCCATTTGGAATTATTCCTAATAAAATGATAAAATGTAAAAAAAAATATTTTTTTAAAATGTCAAAACAAATAAGCAAAAGATGATCTCAGAAATCCAGCCCACCCAAAACGAGTACAAGAGATAAGGACATAGAAAAACTTGGAAGTTACACATCTGAATTTTCTGTAATCATAGAAACTGAAATAAAGAAACAATACATTTGGCAATAGAAGAAATTATATTAGAAATAATCTCTCAGGTAAAAAAAAAAATGACAAAAATCATAACAGAATTGTGCAGCACATCTAAAGAAGACACAGATTAAAAAATAGGGGCACATAAAAACTGATGGAAACATTGAAAGAATAACACAGGAAAGAATTAGAATACATGAAACAGATTCAAACAGATATTCAGGAAATTAAGAATTCCATTGAAAGCTGGCAAACTTACTTAAATGAAACTAAAGATAGACCTTCAGATCTTGAGGACAGCAGTGCAGCTAATGAATGGGAGAGGAAAGACAAGGAACCAGGAAATAGCCATTCAGCAACTATAAGATGATGCAAAGAAAAACAAATTGAGACTGATACATGTCCACCAAAAAGCATGAATGACTCAAAAAGACTATTTGCAAAAGTAGTAGCAGAAAATTACCCAAGAATGGGGGAAAAAAACTGACATACAGTTAAATGACGTATACACAACTCCAGTCAGCCATAATCAAAATAAATCTATACCTAGACACATAATAATCAAGATCCCAGAAATTCATCAAAAGAACAGAAGCCCATCAGAATCACAGTAGACTTTTTGACATATACCTTCAAACCAAGAAGAGCTTGGAGTGAAGCATTTCAGGTCCTGAGAGAAAACAACTTCCAATCCAGACTGAAGTCCCTGCAAAACTGTCAAATTTAATGGAGAGATATAATACTTCCATGATAAAGAACAGCTAGACATTCATGACCACCAATCCAATCCTACAATGAGTGCTGACAGATATCCTACAAAAAGATAGGGATAACCACAATATCAAGAACAAGAAAAGAAAGGAACCACCAAACAGAGCAAGCATTTAAATGGAAGAGAAAAGTAGGAAATCTATAGCATTAAAAATAAAGAAAATGTGACAAAGATAAACCAATACATATCAGTTATAAATATCAATGTAAATGGCCTCAATTCAAAAATCAAAAGAAGCAGACTGGCAGAATGGATCAAAAAACAAAATCCAATATTCTGTATACAAGCAACACATTCAATTTGAAAGAAAATTCATAAATTGAAAGTCAAAGAATGGGAAACAATACTCCATGTGACAGGAACCCAGAAGAAAGCAGTAGTAGCTATACTGGTTGCTAACCAAGTCACCTTCAAGCCAAGAATATTAAAAAAGATAAAGAAGGTCACGACATATTTGTTATGGTAAACTGTAAGAGAAAAGATAACCATCATAAATATATATGAACCCAATGTAGGAGTACCCAACTACATAAGACAGGCTTTAACAGACAAGGAAAATCAAATGAGTAATAACACAATTGTAATGGGGGACTTTAGTACCCCCCTGTCACAAAGAGATAGATCAATTAGGCAAAAAAAAAAAAATCAGCAAAGAAATGATAGAACTAAAAAAAAAAAAAGAAAGAAATGACAGAACTAACCAAAATTGTGAAGAAATGGACTTAGTAGACCTTTACAGAGTGTTCTACTCAGCAACATCAGAATACATTTTCTTCCTGCTGCATATGGGACATTCTCCAAAATAGACAATATACTAGCACATTGAACATACTTAAGTAAATACAAAGGAACTGAAATTTTCCCATGCATACTATCTGACAACAGTGCAATGAAACTGGAAATTATTGAAAAAAAAAGAAACTGTAAAAACTCCATAAACACATGGAAATTAACATTCTCCTGAACAACCAATGGGTCACACATGAAATTAAAGAAGAAATTAAGCAATATTTACAATCAAGCAAAAAAGCTGACACGAATTAACAGAAACTGAAATCAATAAAAACTTCCCCCCCCTTTATTATGTATTTGGTGCAGTCTCACTACACAGCTCAGACATGTAGTGATCCTCCCTGTTTTCAGCCTCTCCAGTGCTGGGATTACAGGCATGTGCCACCACACCTGCACTCAGTCCTGGGCTCAGTGCACCCGGGACACAGGGCTGGTGCAGCATGTGGGGCCAGGATTGAACCCTGGTTCCTGTGCTTGCAAAGCAGGCACTTAGTCAGCTGAGCTATCTTGCCCGCCAGAAAGCTCTCTTAAGAGAGACATTCATAGCAGTAAATTCTTGCATCAGAAAAAAAGCACAAGCCCGAAGAAACAATCTTATTGTACACCTCAAGCTCCTAGAAAAAGAAGAGCAAATCAAACCCAAAACACAAGGAAGGCATAAAATTATAAAGATTGGAACAGAAATTAATGCAATGGAGATGAAGAAAACAATACAAAGAATAGGGCTGGCCAGATTGCTCAGCAGACTAAAGTAATTCTTTAGGCAGGCTCAAGGACCAGGTTTGATTCCCAGTGTGCCATGCCAGTCCTGCCCCCAGGGCACACTGAGACCGCAATTGAGACTGGACATGGTGGTACGCCCCTGTAATCCCAGTACTTGGGAGACTGAAAACAGGAGGATCACTGAGTCCAACCTGTGTAGTGAGACCCTGTAGACCCTGTACTAAATACATTTTTTTAAAAAAATACAAAGAAATAATGAATCAAAGAGTTTGTTCTTTGCAAGAATAAGTAAACTTGATAAATTCCTAGACAACCTTATCAAAATAGGGAAATAAAAAATTCAAATTCATGCAATGAGGGAAAAAAAGAGTCAAATCACTACAGAGCCTATAGAAATTCATAGGATCATAAATACCCACTTCCAAAATATTTACTCTCACAGGATGAAAACCAAAGAAGAAAGGAACAAAGTCATAGTTACATAGGAATTAGCAAAGCTGAATCAAGAAGATATCAAAATTTGTGGATGTCATGATAGTCTACTTAGAAGACCCCAAAAATTTCACCAAGAGAATTGTAGATTTAATAATACGAATCAACATGCAAGGCTGAAAACAGGAGGATCACTACAAATCTGATCTGTGTAGTGAAAGACTGTAGACCCTGTACTAAATACATAAAAAAGCCTTAAAACATATATACATACTAAAATATATATAATGTTGCTACTACACTGATTTTCACTTATAACTGGGATATCTGGAACATAAGTTTCATAATAAGTGAGGGACCACTGGACTCCCAATATTGCTATGAAGACTCAACGCAATCCCATTTAAAATACCATTAGTATGACTCACAGATCTAAATAAAATATTCCTAAAATTGATTTGGAACCAGAAAAGATATAGCATAGCAAAAGCAATCCTGGGAAACAAAGTAAACATTGGTAGCATCACAATTCCTGACTTGAAATTATACAGCAAAGCTACTGTGATAAAATCAATATGGTATTGGGAAAAAAAAAAAAAACTAGACCTGAGGATCAATGTAACAGATTAGAAGATGCAGACACAAATATAAACACACTCATCTACCTTATCTTTGACAAAGGGGCTAAACATGTTCACTGGAAAAAAGATAGCTTCTTTAATAAACGGTGCTGGAAAAACTGTTTTTCCACATACCAGAAACTAAAACTAGATCCAGGCCTATCACCATGCACTAAAGTCAAAATAGATTAAAGTTCTAAACATTAAAACCGAAACACTAAGTCTACTGAAAGAGATAGTCGGTGGAAATCTTAAAGACGTAGGAGTAGGTAAAGAGTTCATGAAAACAACAACAAGCCCTAAGGGTTTATGGGTATGATCACAGCATTCTTGTGGAATTGTCTCTCTCACGATTAATATGAACTTAATGTTCTCCACTGTAGGTCAGGGCCTGTATCTCACAGTCCTTCAGATTTAAACAGAAAAGCCAAGCAGTCTCACAGCATGGGAGTCCAGGTAGGAGAGCTGATGCCCTGAGTCAGAAATGGAACTGTCTCATCACAGTCAGATTCAGAAGGACTTCCTTCCCTTCTAGGCTTCCCATGACTTGTGATTCACATAGGCTGGCAATGAAGAATAATTAAGCATAAGAAATTTGCAAAAATAAAAGAAAAATATTGGTTTAAGAGAATGCTTAAGTAAAATAAACTTGTAAAATTATAATGTGAACATCACAAGAAATTTAACATATCTGAAGCAAAATTAGAGATAAAAGATGCAGCTGATAAGTTGAGGATACATTTTGAAAAAATTTTAGGAATTATAATTCATGCATTAATTTCTAACTGATAAAATAGGAATGGACTGAACAATAGAAGTGAAAAATAATTCAATGAATGACTAATACATCTATGGACCTAGGACTTCACAACTGAGGTACATCCTCATCTTTTCTTTTCTTTTTTGTCTTTTATCTTGAGACAAGTTCTCACTAAGTTATCCAGGATGGCCTGATCTTGTTATCCTTGTATGGCACACCCATCTCAGAGGTGATTTTTGAGTCTTCAAAGATGCATAAATGGTCACTGGATAGATACTTTGAGTGAGGATAGTGGAGAACACATTCTATTTCACAGCATCATGAAGATCCAACAATCAGTCTTACATATCTAAGTAGCTACAACACCTTTGTATGGCTGTATCCTGTTTATGGAAGATATGTATAACCTTCCAGTAGAACAGGGGGGTGTCCCAGTCATGTTGAAACATGAGATTAACCATCAGATGTGGGACAGAAAGGAAAAGAAAAGGGATCCAAGGAAAGAACTCTAAGGGGCAACAACCCTAAAGGGCTGGGCAGAGTGAGATATACCTGGGCCAGGAAGCGAAGAAAGGCAATTGTAGGATCCAAGGAAAGCTGTACCTGGGGCCACAGAAGCACTCCCTCCTAAAAGAAATACTAGAATGGTCAGTAGTATTAAGTGACAGAGAAAAATCAAGAGGATGAAAAGCAAAAACAGTTCACTGGATTTGGGATTGGGTCTTTGATAGAGAGCCAAGCATTTTCAGGAACACAGTGGGATAA